AGGTTTCCTATTTTTGAAACTTCCGCCACCGCCTTGTGCGGTACTACTGGTAAAAAAAATACAACTCCATCCGATAACAAGTCGACGAAAATATTAAAATTCTACGGCGCCCCTACGAAAAATTTAATAGAAATTTAATACGGAATCTGCGGGGATGCCAGAACCAAAGTACCCGCCGAAGGGTGTATACAAACCGCCGCCTCTGGTGCTGGGCCGAAGCTGAAGGCGATCCCGCCAGAGCCTACGCCAGTGCCGAAGCCAAGCTTAGTGGTGGAGGACGCACCGGGTGGCGCGGCTTCTGCAACGCCGGGAACTTCCTCTATATGACCGCAGAAGGCACCGGTGCCCCCGGCCAGGATTTGGCCCAAAACGGCCGTTTCGGCTCATTTCCATACTAGCACTTTAATAGCCGGCACCGCAGCCGCGAAAATCACAAAATAGGGTTCCAGAAGGCTCCCGGCCAGGATTTGGCCCAAAACGGCCGTTTCGGCTCATCTCCATACTAGCAGTTTAATAGCCGGCCCCGGAGCCGCGAAAGTCCCAAAATCGGGTTCCAAAAGGCATCTGCTCCGGAGAGGCCAGAAGGCATTGCTACCTACTCGGTCAGAACGTTCGGCCACAGGGACAACGAATATGCTACTTCGACAGTCAAGGTGATCGACTTCCTCGCCGACGCATCAACCGAGAGGGTGACCTCGAAGTTTACCGCGAAGATGGCTTGGTGGAGGTCTTCCCGAACGCTGTGGCTGACCAACAAGAAGATGAAGAGGAAGAGCCGGAGGATGACGATGAAGATGAGCAGGATAACCAACTTGGAGACGGAAATCTTCCTGGGGGTGGTAGGCCTCCTGATCGAGACCCTCCCGGTGATGGAGGTGGAGCTTCAGGTCATCAAAGCCCTTCTGGAGGTGGTTCGTTTGATGGGAACTGGGGGCCTCAGTAAACTCCGACAGAGAAGGTTGCACCAGAGCCAGAGGGTGAGCCGGGGGTAGAGTCCAAGAAACGTGCTTTGCCAGGTATGGGGACGGATCGAATGGTCAAAGCTATGAGGATGCCGAGCTCTACTACTAGACCTTGGGAGAATGTGGGGTTTGCGGCGCCGCAACCACCTGGAGGTCAGGATGGGTGGATTGCTGATTAGGTCTTGGATGGATGGCTGATTCGATGCCACCGGGAGCCTCGCAAGAGGTACTTTCACCCAGTGTACAAGGCTGTACCACTGGCAGCTGATAACCTGGAGGTGGACCGAGTGACGATTGGCTTTGTGACCAAATTTAAGGAGAAATTCATCTACCAGGACCGCTGGACTGATCCGGTGAGGGATCATAAAAGAGGCCAATGGACAGGATGGACCTTTTTCAAGGTGAAGAAGCGTGATGGGCTCAGTGCTCGCAGCGACCTTGGAGCACCACATGATCGTGGAGCGCTTCAACCTGGAGGTTCTGAACTACCTCGTGCTGAAGGAGCTCATCGAATTTTGCTCGCCAGATTGCAAGGTTTGGAAGACCTTAGAAGCCCTGTGTTGCTGTATTGGCTTCCGTCAGCTCCAGCTCCTCATGAGGCAAAGCCTGTCCCGGGTCAGCTTCTTCGTTTGACACTTCCACTGGGACCGCTTCCCAGCTCGGCCACTCCTCATGGTCCGCAGCTACCTCAGTTTCCTCTGCGGGCTTCTCTGAGCTCCCCTCAGTATATTGTTTGCGAGCTACCTGCCTGGCCTGTCTGGCCTTCATAGTTCGTGGCGTAAAGCCGATTCCTGCCGGCCCTCAAACCAGATGTTCTGTTCCGTGCCCCAAGCCTCTGGCTTCTCCATCGCGGAGTCCTCATCCTTCTGCTCTGGTTGGTGGCCCTGCTTAGCCTTCTTTTTCTTTCTCTTCCTTTTCTTCCTCTCATCGTCGCCCTGGCTTGGATTGTAAGGCTCCACTTATCAGGCCTACCTCCACCATCTTCTCCACCATCGCCACCAGCAGCTGCTGCAGCAAGGTAGCCGAACCCTGGGCAGCCGAACCGGTAGCCGAACCCTGGGCAGCCCGTAGGGCAGTGGTCGTTTGACCCTAAGTCCGTGGAGAGAACGGGTCCCTTCACATGGGCTAACCTGCCACATGGAAAACTGCAGGCCACGCTATCCCCAAAACTCGATTCCCCAAAACCGGAATCCCCAAAAAGGGTGGGACCTTGGTGGTGACCATTTGAGGGGTTAATGCCAGGTTCATTTTCCCTTGGCATCTTACTAGTTGGTTGTGGGCTGGGTTCATTTTCCCTCAGCCATCCTCTTTCAGTAGGTGGTTTACCTAGGCCGGGTTCATATTCCCTTGGCTTTCTTTCCTTTCTTTTCAGACAACAGAGGTAAGACTTCCATCTTTGTACAACATGGCAAATCCCTGTAGCAACTGCGCAGATTCCTAACTTCCGAATTCGATGCTGGCTCTCTGTAACAGGCCGCCATTTTTCAAGCCCCGCAGCTACAGTCAGCCCTTTCAGAGCCCATTCCCTACAGATCCCAATCTTCCTCAAGATCTCCAGATCCTCCGGCTCGGCCATGTCACAAAGCCCTGCAAACATCCGGAATCTTGACCATGTAGTTTCCACCGTGATCGGCTTCGTCAGGAAATCTGCGCAAATTCCACACCAGCCATGTGCTTCACCTTCCACACCTCCTGCTGCACTGCTTCATGCAACGCCCTTGAGCGAAAACTGAGATGCCTTGATCTCCAAGGCCCATTTGGGTTGAGTACCACCTGGATTCCCGATTGGGAATCTCCATACAACACACGGACCCCTTTTTCGGTCAATCTTCCCTCCTTGAAGATGTCGACCAAAACGGCACGGAATCACCTAGGCACATAGCGTCCACGTAAGACGTCACCTCAGCTTCCGAACTACTCAGGGTGGCAAAACTTTGCCGCTTGCTTTCCCACTGGATCAGTCCTCCAGCCCAGACTGCAAGAGTGCAATTTTTCATCCCTCATCTGGCCAGCTGGCTACGCACCCGCCGCTTTAGCGAGCCTACTTTTCGACCTTCCGCAGTCACAAATCATTGGAAAAACACAGTGAATCGCGACTTTGCTGCTTCTCGCGCACCTGGATTTTCTTTCTTCTGGGGCTTTCTCTTTTTTAATCTTCTTTCTTCTTCTCTTCTCTTCTTTGACTCTTACCACCTCTGCTTTTCATCTGTCCATATTGTCGGAAGTTTGACTTCTAAACTTCCTTTGGCAAAGCACTCTGACATGATAATAACAAAATCAGACACTAAAAATCAGGTAAGATAGGATAGGATAGGATAGGCCGGCAAGGCAACAAAGACAGGCAGACAAACAAACAGACAGACAGAAGGATGAAGAAACAATCAAATAAACAAACAAACAAACAGGGGTCACTGAACAAAAAAAATGTACAAACCTCAAGATGACAACTTCAAGAAAATCAAAACGCATGCCGTGTATGCGCTGCCTGTGAAAGAGTCCATCTGGCATTGTTTTCTGCTGCCAATTGACCTTTGCAATTTGAACCGCTCTGTTCCTCTTCCTCTCTCTCTTTGGAGAAACGAGTCTCGGGCAAAGGAAGCTCGAACAGTGAGGTATTGCCAGAGATTTTGCTTGGTAGGCGACAGCACTGAACTACGTGCATATGGGCAGGATGTCTGTTTCGACTCAGGCTGCTCCACGACACAGCAGCGGCACAAGCATCACCGGATTTAATCCAGCCAAGCCAAGGTGTTTCATGTGGACCCACATCAGCAGTCCAAACTGAACAGTGCCAATGGTCCCCAATAGATAAAACAATGGTCCGATGTTTGCAACCTTAGCTGTGATGCGACCGACGTCCAGAAAGAATCCGTCAGTACAACTTCGTTCGTCGGCTTCTGCATTTTGAGCTCGAATGTGCCTAAAGTCCTGTACCAACTCGTTTTCTTGGAGACTTAGTTTTGCTTTTTCATTCCTACCTACCTTGCCGGGTTAAAAAACTAATCGACTTGAACAGATCTCCGGGCACATGCCTCAAACCGCTACGTGTCTGCATCATTTTTGCATCGTCTTGCATTGATGTGGCTAGACTTCGATGCTTCAACTGCTGCATTCGATTCTGCAGCATTGTTTTGAATGAACATTAAGGGAGAAAGAACATTGTATAAAGCATCCGGGCTTGAACCCCATTAAGGCCGCCCAACCTCTTGAAATTGGTGGGGTAGTTGCCGCGGCAAGAAGCTAGTCATCAAGCAATTTCAGGATCAAGATGTGTTTGAAAGGGTAACGGGAGGAAGCAACAGGAGCAGGTTGTCACAAGTGGGAACAGAAGCAAACCCGGTCACCTCGTTCCCGCACCTGCGACCGCCCTCCGCGTGCTCAGGCGCAGCAGGATGATGCCCCTAACCTTTGCCCTTGCACCCCGAGGGCGTATTTCAATGTTAAGTAGTGACTTGGCACCCGAATGTCCCAAGGGGCCCAAGGGAAGGGGAGCACACCCCATCACAACTATGACCATCTGCATTGGAACGTCAGCGTTGAAGCATCGTTCACATTACGCCAGGTGTTACCAGCAGCGGCGCGTGATCCGCCCAACCTGGGACGCGGAGGTAACGGTGGCGCTTGCCGCGCTGCCGGGGTCTACGCAGGAACCCTTCAACAAAGGTTGTCTCCATGTGCAAAGCGTTTAGAGAAGCGTGCTATTCAAACAACATGGTGTTACAAAAGCGGCGGTTGCAGTAGACAGAGACGTTCGCTTGCCACGTATTGCAAACAAGGAACCCATTGGTTTAACAAGTGTGAAGGTCGCGCACGACAACTGACCCCGGTTTATTTTGCCACCGCCCCCCTTTCTCCGTTGCGGACGCGCACCACGACAGGTATCATATGACACCCCAAAACTACAAAAAAAAACACTGTAAAACACGGGGTTTTCTAACGGAGCCCCTTGAGGCCAAGATGGCCCATGTGGATGCTTTTAAGGCCAGTTTGTTGAAGCACTATGTTGGCCCATGTTACAGGGTGGGCCATGTTGGGCCAGGTGGAAGCCATGCTGAGCTATGTCGGGAGCAAGGCGCGGCCACGTCGAGGGCCATCTTGGGCGATCTTGGGGGCATGTTGGGGCCACGCTGGAGTCATCTTAGATTCTTTGATTTTGAACTCTTGCGCTGTGGGTGACTTTAGGCTGTACTTGCGCCCTGCATTGTCTATAAAACCAAGAGCAAAATACAACTCCAAGGAGCCTTCCTTTGGTTCGCCAGCGTCAGCGTGAACTGCGCAACGTTGTTGACGGCCAAAGAAACCAGCTGTGAATCCAGGAACAAGGCTTGCGCAGCCGCGCACCTGCAAAGGCTGTGTTACAATGAAATACAATGAGCAAATTAACAAAGCCATGGAAACTTTTCTTCCATCATCAGCCACTCAATCAGCCAAACACCTGATTATTTGACAGTATAGCCAGTATAGCCCTGTAGTCCAACTTCAACTTGTCCCAGGCAGTGTCTTGCTGCACCGCTAGTGCATATCAACATGTTTCTTCCTGCCTTTAGTTGGCCGCATGAATTGCCAGAGGGCTTTAAAAACATTTCAGGTCGGGGTAGGTCAGTAGAAAATATTGGCGCCCTGCCATTAAACATACATACTAAAACCAATGATAAGATCAGTGGGGGCCACTCTGCATAGGTTGGAGGTGAGCTGCCCCAAGGCGTGTCATTCTTCAGGAAAAACCTAACTTGAGATGCCTTCAGACGTGAAGCAAGCACTGAAGGGGCGTCGGCGTCGGCATTTGATATTTACATGTTCAGGCGTTCGTAATGCCCCGGACCTCAATAAATTTCGCTGTTTTTTCCCGAGAGCGTCTGTGGCGGTCTGTATCTCATCTTCACATCTTCTCATCTTCACATCTTCATCTCATCTTCTCATCTTCACATCTTCTCATCTTCATTTCATCTTCACATCTTCATTTCATCTTCTCATCTTCACATCTTCCCATATTCACATCCTCTCATCTTCACATCTTCTCATCTTCACATCTTCTCATCTTCACATCTTCTCATCTTCACATCTTCTCATCTTCACATCTTCACATTTTCACATCTTCTCATCTTCACATCTGCTCATCTTCACATCTTCACATCTTCACATCTGCTCATCTTCACATCTTCTCATCCTCACATCTTCACATATTCACATCCTGACATCTTCACAAATTCTCCTCTTGCCTTCTTGCCCTCTTGCCCTCACATCTTCACATCTTCTCCTCTTGCCCTCTCCTTCTTTTCTATTTCTCTTCTGAAGGCGGGGGCAGGGGCAGTGCCAACGAGACGGCACGAAACGCAACCCTTTCGCACGAAATGAGGTTCGATCGCCAAAAACTGCGGTAAAATTGCGATTTCAACTTGTCCGGCGCAACCCTTTCGCACGAAATGAGGTTCGATCGCCAAAAACTGTGGTAAACTTGCGATTTCAACTTGTCCGGCGCAACCCTTTCGCACGAAATGAGGTTGCCAAAAACTGCGGTAAAATTGCGATTTCAACTTGTCTGGCGCAGCCCTTTCGCACGAAATGAGGTTCGATCGCCAAAAACTGGGGTAAAATTGCGATTTCAAGGGTCCAATCGGAATCGCAACCCTTTCGCACGAAACGAGGTTCGATCGCCAAAAACTGGGGTAAAATTGCGATTTCAAGGGTCCAATCGAAACCCTTTCGCACAAAACGAGGTTCGATCGCCAAAAACTGAGGTGAAATTGCAATTTCTCTTGTCCAATCGTGACCCTTTCGCATGAAATGAGGGACCGCCAAAAACTGAGGTAAAATTGCGATTTCATGTGTGTAAAAGCGTCTGTGTGTAAAAGCGTCTGTGTGTAAAAGCGTCTGTGCGTAAAAAGCTTCTTTGTGTAAAAGCGTCTGTGTGTAAAAGCTTCTTTGTGTAAAAGGGTCTGTGTGGGTAAAATTGCGATTTCCTGTGTGTAAAAGCGTCTGTGTGTAAAAGCGTCTGTGCGTAAAAGCTGCTTTGTGTAAAAGCGTCTGTGTGTAAAAGCTTCTTTGTGTAAAAGCTTCTGTGTGTAAAAGCATCTGTGTGTAAAAGGGTCTGTGTGTAAAAGCATCTGTGTGTAAAAGCGTCTGTGTAAAAGCGTCTGTGTGTAAAAGCGTCTGTGTGTAAAAGCGTCTGTGTAAAAGTGTTAGTGTGTAGAAGCGTCTGTGTGTAAAAGCTTTTGTGTGCAAAAGTGTCTGTGTGTAAAAGTGTTTGTGTGTAAAAGCTTCTGTGTGTCAAAGCGTCTGTGTGTAAAAGCTTGTGTGTAAAAGCTTGTGTGTAAAAGCTTTTGTGTGTAAAAGCGTCTGTGTGTAAAAGCTTCTGTGTGTAAAAGCTTCTGTGGGTAAAAGCTTTTGTGTGTAAAAGCGTCTGTGCAAAAGCAACTGTGTGTAAAAGCGTCTGTGTGTAAAACTGTCTCTGTGTAAAAGCGCCTGTGTGTAAAAGTGTCTGTGTGTAGCGCGGACACACTCCAGCCAACTGTGCACGGCAGCGAATGCAGTGCAGCAGTAGGCAAAGGTCTTTAGGTCACGGGCCGTGCCAAATCGCCTGCCCTTCTGACAGGGCGATGGCATGTGAAGGAAATCAATCTCTCCCTGGCCTGCTGGACAATTGGCCTGGGTAGGCAGGCTCGAAGACCCTTCAGGGAAATGTACACTCCCAGCTCCTTAGCTGGTCGAGAAGGTGTCCTCAGTGTTACATCAGGGAAGAGAAAATTAATCTGCTGCAAAGCCTGTTGAAGTGGCCTCAACAACATCGCCATTGTTGGCTTCTGAAAGAGGTCCTCCAAATGTTTCATTTGCCAGTTTGTAGAACCGTCCAGTTGAAACGGAAAAGCAAAATCACCAGAATCAAGCAAAATGAAAACAAATTCCAAGTCACTAATGGTAACTGGAGGGTTCTCAAACTGTTCAGCGGCACATAACCACTGTAAAATGGATGTCAGAAATTGTCCAGGCAATGAGCCTGTTGTTTGTCTACACTGGACCTGCCAATTCACAGGAAGTTGATCAGAAACAAGTTGAACCTCGTCACCCTCATCACCACTAGACAAAACCTCAACAGCCTCAAAAAGATCGTTTCCTGTGTCAGCAGTTGGAACTGTCGCCTTGTGCTCAGCTACACTAAAATAAAAAGCTCTCAGTTGTCTCACTCTTTCGCTCCACCATGTCAGGGTACGCAGGACATCTTTGTGTTTTCGCATGAAGTTCTCTGGTCTGTCTAGGTTCCAGGAGGTGACAAAACTATCCACCAGGTTGTTCCATCTAAAAGCCCATGACTCAAATGCGTCTTCAGCGGCAGATTCATGAACATGTGAAGGAACCCATCGAAAATCAGTGCGCAGTGCTGGTCGCGCCTGAAGAGCTTCATGAAATTCAAGCCAAAGGTCATAGTTCTCCACATGAGAAGGGATTTGGCCAGTGTGCTGAATTTGTTCCGCTGTTTGGACATTGGAAAGAGAGTCGCTCCAAATGCAAACGTCGGTGTCCTGGGACCATCGGGTTGCAACCACCAAGGCTGTCAATTCGGCCCTGTCAATGGTCTGCGTCAATCCGTTCAGGTGGCCCATCGCGACAATCTCGCAAGAGGTAGCGCTCAGAACTCCCCAAGCTGCCAGTCGCAGGACAGTATGTTGTGGCGCAGTGCATGACCCATCTATAAACACATGTTGGAGTTCCTTTTTTGGGGGATAAAAAAGAAAACTGTTTGTTCTGTCCTGGATCTGAAGCAGGGCCTCTTTCCATGCAACCATAGCAGCTAGTCGCGGGATCAGCAAGTGATACACAGTGCAAGCGGGAAGTTGAACATTATCAGGATGCCATCCAGCAATGTCCATCCGCAAGTGTTGATATCCAGGGCAGTTGAGCCAATGGGCTCTGTCATCCTCGCAGCTGCATTGCGTGCACATTGGTGATTTCTCCTGGTCATAGCGGGCATGTTCATCAGCACTGATGAAAGCCCCTGATTGTAGAGCGGAGAGCAAGGCACGGTGCATGGGCAGAGTCTTGCCGTAGTCCAATGTGGTAGTGGTATGGTCCATCCCTACCAGATCTTGCATGGTTTTGTGGTTCACCTTGGACGCGATGAACTGACACCAAGCATCATGTAAAAGTGTCTGAAGTGTCTTATCATCCACGGTGACAAGATTCCACTGATGTTGGTCATGGTCTCGAAGCCATGGTGGTTCCTCCACACTCCAGCCAATCTGGTGCAAGCACAGGTTCAACTTGGTAAAGGGCCCTGGGTAGAGCTTGCCTGAAAATTGCCTCTGCCAAGCCTTCCACATCGGAAGGAGATCTGTTGTTTTCCTCAGCAGCCTACGCATGGTCTGCAGACAATGGTTGAGCTGATAAAAGCCTGGGTCATTCTGCATGTTGTCCGAAAGGCTGAGGCGGAGCATCGGATTGGATCCAGCTCCATTGATCTTGAGCGACTTAGTGGCTGCTCGGCGTAGAGCTGTCAAGTAGTGGTCAGCGAAGACGCATGAAGGCGATCCATGCAGTGCTTTGGGCCAGAAGACCCTGTGGAGCATCACCAGCTTTTGGGGAAAGGGCGCCAGAGAGGCACGAAGTCGCTTCCACTTGTCCTCCATGCCAGTACCTCGCATCTTCAGGTGTCTGTTGCGGATCTTAAATCCATAAGACATTGAAGCCCCAAGCTCACTTGCATCGTATTGGCAAGGAAATCCAAGTTGCTGTAGGGCTTTTCGCATCTCAGTGGAAAGACCCCAGACAAACGTTTTCTCCTCATCCATGGTGAGTCCAAAAAGGCCAGAGTAGGTGAGCATAGCGAAATGGCCTTGGATGACCGTAATAGCTTCCCGAGCTGCCAAGGTCAAGTTGTCAACGAAACTGTAGGCCTGAATCTTGGGCACGAAGATCCGCATGTAGACATGATACCCCCAGTTGACAGTCAGCATTGCAACTATGGACAGCGGGTCTCCCTCCGGGAATCCGGAGTCTGACATGATCTTGTGTCCAAGGCAGCCTCGGATATCGAAGCGCCGCACAAAGTTGTCCAGAAATTTCTGCCATGCTGTCAGGAGCTCCACTGGGTATCCGAGGTGATTGCCCATGTGAAAAACTTGCTTACGGCCAATGTGGTTGAAGGCCCGCTTCACATCTGAGCTAAGTCCACCCAGAGGTGCATCCAAGGAAAGCATCAACTCAATTTGGCCTTGCAGCAGGAGCCAAAGTTCTGTGGTTTCTCGATGAGGTAGAAATCCAAGCGCCTCTGCTGGCATGTACTGGGCTATTTGTCTGATCATGTGCTGAGTGCGCAGTTTGGACCAGCATCGGAAAATCATCGAGAA